GGTGATCTCATGATCTAAGGAAATAAATCTTTTCAAGAGGGAGGGGGTATGATTTATTTTGATATATATATGTAAATCCCTAGTAAAACACATAAGGTATATGGATTTATTTATCTAATGAAATCAGAAAAGCTGAAAGTTTAAATTATTCTTAAATCTTAACTATATGTAGTTAAGTTTTACAGATTTTCAATAATAGCACATAACCAGTTGAATAGTGTTTTTCAAGTAAAAACAGGTATAACCAGACTAAGCATGATGTACTTTTGAGCATGTCAAACACTAATAAACAGTAATGAAATATACAGGAAGATGGCACCTTTAGACAGCTATAGACTGTTATAGATCCATGGGGGGTTTCCCTCACGGGACTCTGTATATTAATTATATTAGCAATGAATATAACATTGAAAACACGTAAATGAATTTGTACTCCTTTTTCATATTTATGGATTTTAACTGGAATATATTTTATTGAGAAAATTTCGTAAGAGTCTTGTACAACAGTAGTCCAGTTGATTCATTTGTATCTATATACCGGTAGGCAGACATTTATTAGCTTTGTATTCACACTGGATTAGAAAGATCAGTATTGCCTAGAAAAGGTAAAGAAAATTCCTGTAAATCCATTCCTTCCTTTTATGACAGCTAACATACGGATAAACTAAACAAGCATTAAAACTAATTCTGTTCTGTACTATGTATTCTTTCGCTTCTTCTAGATTCACTTACCAGTTCAAATAAGTATTTTACAGCTGGGAATTTTGAATTAAGTGTATGTGTTGCGTATGACCCCAAAGCCAGGGGAATTTCTTAATGTTAAAAAAAACCTCATTATTCTATTTATAAATAAAAATGCAATGTGGTCTGCTTTTTCATTCATTTATTTTCAAATATTAAGAAAAGGTGCTTTTTTTTAACATTCATACATTATGTAATGAAATAAATAAAGCTATATAATGTATTATAATTAAAATAACATTACATTTTCCTAAAATATCAAGAAGAAAAATACTTGTTTACAACATTAAATTTCACATCTGGTAATGCATCATATACTCATAGTTCCTTTTCAGAAGATAAAATTCTTCAAAATCACGTTTCAGTATTAAATACTTTTAACATTGAAAGTGAATTTTATTTATCTTACCTATACTAGATTCCAAAACTCCATAAAAACCTTACAAACAAAGTTACTAGTATATCGCAGAATCCAGTAAATGTTCCATCAGTCTTCACTGCTCACCAAAATATTAACTGATACGAAGGTCCTGTGGTACAATATTTTCAAAAAGCACTGCAAAACAATTTTGGATTTTCAAAAGCTCAAATGAACTTTTGGAAAATTCATAATCACATTTTTATATAAATCAATACATGTAACATCGAAATGTATGACTTTTCAACGCTTTATGCAACCATTCCTCAGAAAAAAGGCTTTTGATATCGTAGACAATTGCTTCTTCAATAAAATGAAACTAATAAGTAGTCATATCTTATGATTGGTTATTTTACAAACTTACTTTGTTAAAATTCATTCTGATTCTATTAGAAAAAGTACTATGAAGTTGATATTTAGGAGATGCTGAAAATCTTTGTAGTCTTTGGAGACCAGGAATTCCAAAATTCATTTGGAATACTGATCTTATGAAGCAGAATTTATTCGGAAACTTCTACATGAGAAGAAAACTCTTCATGCGGGCTTTCAATTCGACATTTTGATATTTCATTGAGGTTTTATCAATTAACAATAGATATTTTTCATTCATATGTCTACTCAGTATATTATGGCAAGCTCAATAAGAGAACAAAAGACACCACAGAGGTTGACACATCTGTTTCATGCTTGGATGTTTTACTAACTATAGACGTAATAGCCAACTAACGGCTAAACCATGAGATATAACTCCAACTTTCCATCGTCAACTTCCTCTTATTATATAGGCCTAGTAATATTCCCCTATCACCTTTTGAAGGTGTTAATGTCTTTCAACTGATTCGCTACGCAAAAGCATCTTTTGAGTGTAACTAATTTTAACTAAGGCGGGCTACTGATAAATAAGTTGACGTTAAAGGGTTTTCAACAACCTCGTTCGAAGTCAGCATTTCGCAAATTATATGGTCGTTACAATGACCTTGTTTGTAAATTCAACCTATTGTTGGGTCGTAGATATATTTCCCACCAATAGTAAGTCCATTTTTTTCCAGTATGACTAAGGACTACACCTTTTACCTGATCAAGACAGAGGGCTCACAGCGGGTGTGACCGTAGTCAACTCGACATTGATGCCTGATCCCACCTCTGATTTTTTTCCCTGTTCACGGTTCGTAATTTCAATTGGAATAATGCGCTTGATTGATCACTGTTCGTATTTTCACCTTTTACGTTAATGAATTATGAATATTAAGTAGATAAGCAGGAGATATATGGAATTAAATTCAATATTGAAAGGTTTTTATACTTATATTATATTATATTTTAGAGCAAACACGCACCTCCAAAACATCAGAGGTGGGATCAGGTGCCATGGAGGAGTGAGCATCCCCTGCCGACCGTTCATACCCGCCGTGTGCTCCTTGTCATGATCGGAAAATAACGGAAAATCCGTCGACAATTCAGTGTGTAAATAATGGTCTAACAATTAGTATGAAAAACGTCAGGCAGCATTTGACTTAACGATAAATTGTATTTGCTGACAAGGTCATAGTATCGACCATAGAACTTACGAAATGATTTTAAACGAGACTGCTGATATTCTTGTTTCATCAACTTGTTTGTCAATAATTTACCTCGTAATAGATATTGTATGTACGTAGAGCATGCTCTTGCGTATCGAATCAACTGAGAGATATAAACCCCGTAAGCAGGTGAGGAAGGTATATTGCTGCATAAGTAAGGGAAGTTGACGATTGAAAAGTTAAAGTCACCATGTTTATCATAAAGCTTAGTTGTTAGATTACCATTAACGTCTTTTTCAAGTAAAATATCCAAATATGAAACAGATGTGTCAGACTCTGTAGTATCTTTTATCTCAAGCTCACCGGGATATATCGTATTGACATAAGAATGGAAATAACCATTGTTAATTGGCAATACGTCGTCGATGTATCTAAATGTCGAATTGAAGGCCACAGCAAGTGTTTTCTTCTTTTCACGTATAAGATTTTGGACAAATTCTGCTTCATATGAATACAAAAAAAGGTCTGCTAATAACGGGGCGCAGTTGGTACCCATGGGAATTCCAATAGATTGTTGGAAGACCTGGTCCATTCATTATTATTATTATTTGCAAAAATAACTGTATGAAATCAAAATGGTGAAGATAACGAACAATGATCGATCTAAAAAATCTACAAAGAATACAATTCTCTGAACAGGGCACAAAACACGAACCCCCTGAAATTCCAGAATTGGGATTAGGTGCCTAAAAGGAGTAAGCATCCCCTGTTGACCGGTCACACCCGCCGTGAGCCTTATGTATTGATCTAGTAAACGGAACATTCCGTAGTCAAATAGCATAAAAACAAATACTTAACAATCGGTTTGAAACATGTCAGCCAATAAACAACCCAATGATGGGTTATATTTGTTAATAATGTCATTATAACGACCAAAGAATTAACGAAATGCTTACTTTAAACGAGGTTGAAATTTCCTATAATATCAACTCATCTGTCAGTAGCTTGCCACTTTTAAAATTGATCGTACTCAGAGGATGCTCTTGAGTGTCGAATAAGTTGGGAGACGTTAACACCCTGTGCAGCTGATAGTGATCAGTGATCAGGGAGCGGTGAGGTACTGATAAATCTGGGCTACATTTTACAATTATATAACTTTACGAATAATATGAAAATCATTATCTCATAATAAAAACTTGTTCAAAAAATTAAATGTTTATTTCAAAAATATCTCTTTTCCTTTTAAAAATGGTTAATACCATTGTCAAATCAATATAAATAAGAAGGTTCTTCGCAAAAGTACATGGTGGTCTTATAGTCCTAAGACTTTTTGTAATATGAACCACAGGATAGCAAACTCTTATAATCGCTTATTTACTGAACGTTATATATATGAAATGACAATCTAAATAATATTTAAGTTTCAAATCCATGAAAGGCGTCAGGGAGCTCAGTCAGTAGAGCGCTCGTTCGTGATGGGAAGGTCGTGGTTTCAAGCCTAGACAGACCTAAGTAGATAAAAAAAAAGCTAGCAACTGTACCTTCGCCAAGCACTTGAAAGTGAAAGTTGCGGGTCTTTCTGATGAGAAATTAAAAACCGAGGACCCGTGTCATGGTAAGCGTTGGCACGATAAAGATCCCTCACTTTACGGGTCTAAATTTGAAGCTCTTCACCGGTATATAGTGACGTCTCTATAGGAGTGGAAAATTCTAGAATGGGACGTAAAAAATCACACATTCAATTCAATCAATAAATTAATTTTAATTTTCTCACTTCTGTTAAAGCCTGTTAAAGACCGATGCACTTAATCAACATAAAGAATACAAAATCTACATCTTATGAGGATACATTTAAAGAATGCATTAAATACCGAGCATGCTGTATTTCATTATTCAGTATAAAAATTCTTACATATCATACTACTTTTTTGCCTGCATCCGATATTTCTCTCTGATAAATCTGATTCGGAACATAAATATATCATAAAATTTGGATAAAGTGTCGAAATTGATGTCGAAGATTTCAAACAAATGAATACAAGACCTGAATTATTAAATAAAACGTCCATTTCTTATGTCTGAAATATTGAGCTAATCTCGTTCTACATTGTTGATCAAATCTCGCGAGACTCATTCTTCCGGTAGTCTCGAAAAAGTCTGGCACCGATGCTTTAGTTGTTATATCGTTCATTTATCAAACGGGGTGTTTGTGAACAAATACATTTTTGTCATTGATTTTCTTCTGTTCTGCAAAACAAACCAAAACAAAAGTTCTAAATATGAATTTTTAAACTTGAAACATTCTTGCGCAGAAGAAAGCTGATATGCTTTTATTTAGAGCGGATATTGTTACAAGTCAATTACAGTGCCACGCAAGTGAATACCATTTGACTTTCTAGTTTGAAACACGCAGCCAATGCCAGGTCTTTTGAAGCAAAATATAATTAAGCAACTACAAGACATCAATTATTAAGGATCCATTTAGATTGCCAACTTCCAAACCATCAGCGGCTCGATATTAGTCAAAAATTATTGGAAGCAATTCAGGCATAATGGTAAGTATTTTGCTTGAAAATATATAAGTAAATTATTTGCTAGAAAATTTGGTTTTCAGATAAGAAAACGTATCATCCTGTCGTGTAATATTTTGTATATCTTATATAATAATTTACAAATCTTTAAGAATTTTTCGAGATATTTCCAATTTGAAATGAACAGTCAGCGACTGAGAACAATAACAGTATTTCTGTTGTTTCCTCACCATCAACAGTCTCTAAAGGATTCTACAGAAATTAAGAACTCTAGGCTAATATTTAATCAAAGCTTGAACTCATACAATGGTCTCTAAAACATGTTTCTCAATTTATTTGGGTTGAATCACATTTGCAGTCAATAATTGTAAAATTTCCTCATATTTTTAAAGTCCTTAAAATAATTAAAAGTAATAAAGTGTACAAAAAATTAATTGATACAATCGAACGCTTTTCGAAATAAATTACAAAATAATCATGAAGAAAAAGGAAAGAAAAAATTGTTCTTTTATTATTACTCTTGATATGCTAGAAAATATATTTCATTAAAAAACACAAAATCTGATCATGATCAATTAGAAACACATTAATTTAAATAAGAAATAAATTCGTTGTATTTTTTCATTAATATAAATATAGTTAAAGTCCCTAGAAAGGAAAGATGGATAAGACCTATAATTCAAAGTATCTTATAATAAATCAATTGGGCTACTAAGTTGGGTATGATCCTCGGTTGGTGGACTAGAACCATTAGTTGAATTGTTGGCTGTTTGATTAAGTTGGGTAAAATAGTTTGTTGTCTCATTTTCTTGGGTAAAATTGTTGGTTGTTTGATTGATATGGATTAGTCGTGGGTTGTTCAGATCTTTATTTTACTAACTATTCGTTGTCTTCATTTTTCATTTGAATATCCTTTCTGATGTTGAGAGATCCTACCATGGGTTTGTATAAAATGCAGATTCTAAAGAAATTATATTTGTGTTAAGGAGGTTGGATCCTGCTATCAAAAGTAATGAGAATTTTTTATCAAGTATATTTTTTTTAGAATCTACACACATAGCTTAATTAAAAATCAAAACAAAAAATGAGGGTCAATGCACTTCTTTTGGCGCTACGGAGCATTTAGTATGACCTTTTTGCACTGTAATTACGTCTAACACATAAATCAATTTTTAAAGTTTTTCCTCCAATATTTTTTTATTCAAATAAATTATGGGAATAAACACAGTCTTATTTCATAGTGAATAGACATATCAAAATTTATGACAACAAAAAAGTTTCAAATTACTTCGCATGCTCTATTATTTGACCTTTCTGCAGTCAAGAAATGTCATTTTTCTGGCATTAAAAATTTAACGAGCAATTAAATCATTTAAAAGTAATGAAATTTTACTGAATTTAAGAAGAATGGTTAAAAGTATCTTATATATTTAAAAAAAATTAAAAGTGGAGGTCTGTGATGTTAATTTTTAGATATTACTAAAATAACGTTAATTTTAAGCTCATTGGGGCTATTTTTTCTGGATTTTTCACAATACATTTGCTATATTTGTCAAATATGATGATAGAATTTATGACAGTTTATTTGATATCTAATTTAGGACAAGCATAAGACAGTTTACGGCACAAAATATCTCTGTGTACAGGCTGCAGGTGAAAATAGGAATCCAAACTTAAGAATACCTAAAATACTTCGAAAGAGAAAAAAAAAACGATCATTTTCTTCTTAAAAAAAAACCTTCCGCCACAAAATATAGTTTATTGCTTAATACATTTGGTATGGAATTTGATCATGGGGTTTTAACTGAATATAGTTTAAATGGCATTGTAGAATCCAAATTTATTGTAAGAACTAAAACATTATGCAGATTATTTAAATATAGGCCAAGACAAAAAATATACTCAAAAGCTCAGGAGCGAAGCTCTTTAATGAGTAAGATTTTTTTTTTTATTTTTAAACAGAGAATGTGCATTCCTGCATATTTTAACCCCTCTAACTTGACCAGGATGATATGGAAGCTTGTCCATTATATGAAACAAACTAAATACATGTATTGGTTCAATTTCAGAACAAAATAAAATATTTTCCACTTATTCATAAAAAAAAAAAATTTAAGCGTTTTCTTCCTTGAATGAGAGAGTTACTATCCTTTGTTTTTTTTTTATTTGTTTAAATTTTTTTCCCTTTTTTTTTCTTTATTTTCTTTTGTTTGTTTATTTATCTATTTATTTCCTATTTGCTTCTTTTAAAAAAAAAATAATAATAATTATCAGTTACTCAGATCTTTTTCTTTAGAGAAAAGTAAATATATTATCCATTTAACAATTTTGTTTTTGTAATTGATACTTATGACTTAAAAAAAAAATCAATTTTTGCATTACAATTATGACACAAATTTGACTGTTAAACAAAAGACTATTTCGTAATCATCTAAAGAATATTGGAGCACTTTTGATCGAGGTCCTAGTCCTAGTGGTCCCTTTATCACAGCAGTCGGTAATATCTATTCTTTTAATTTTTAATGAGGAGACGTCGACAGAATAAAAATGTTTGAACTATTATTTTAAATGCGTGTATGTCATTGTTGCAGGATTCTCAATAAATTATTCCTATGTGCATGATAAAGAACATGGTGGGGAAAACACTAACAAAGTGAATGTTTTACCCTGCATAACAAATGTAATCTTGGTGAATTTCAAAATAGCACCTCACACCTCATTATTTACACACTGAATTGTCGACGGATTTTTCCGTTATTTCCCGATCATGAAAAGGAGCACACGGCGGGTGTGACCGATCGGCAGGGGATGCTCACTCCTCCATGGCATCTGATCCCACCTCTGATGTTTGGAGGTCCGTGTTTGCTCCGCTCCTATTTTGTATTGTTTAATGGACTTTTGAGCTCGATTACTGTTCGTTATCTCCATATATTTCATAACATCATCTATGACACAAAGTTAAGAGGTCTATTTCTTTCCATAAAAATAAGCAATTTGATATTGTTTATAAAACAAACATGTATTTCTTATGATATTTTTATTTGGCTTAGGTTTCTTTTTTTCAAAAGTAACAATTTAATTTGAGGGAATCCTGTATTTCTAACTAATGCTAAATACTATGAACATGCAATTTTGTTTCAAAGTATAATACTTCATACATAAGCAAGACAAATGTATAACCTGAAATACTTTATTTTTCATGTGAGATAATGAATTAGCTAAGATAATCTATCATGAATTTTTCTAGCGTGCTTGTTCTCGTCAAGAAACATGTAATGATTTGGTGATGTAATTATTGGATGAAGAGTAATCCCACTCCACACATATTAAGACGGGCTGTAGCTACAAACGTGTAAGGTTCTCCCAATGTGACATTCTTCTAGGGATCAACAAGCACTAATGACTTTAAGAGGCTTCTAACATGGACGTCTTTATCGTAATTTACAGTAAAACAATGTTATAATTTTCTTTAGAAAAAAAGAATAAAATGAAATGTATGGAGATAACGAACAGTATTCAAACTCAAAAGTCCATTAAACAATACAAATTTTGGAGAAGAGCAAACACGGACCTCTAACACATCAGAGGTGGGATCAGGTGCCATGGAGGAGTGAGCATCCCCGCCATGTGCTCCTTGTCATGATCGGGAAATAACGAAAAAATTCGTCGACAATTCAGTTGTAAATAATGGCCTAACAATTAGTATGAAAAACGTCAGTCAGCATTTGACTTAATGATAAATTGTATTTGCTGACAAGGTCATTGGTTCGACCATAGAAAAAAAAAGAGAATAAATTGTTATATATAACTATATATCTTAGAATCATTTGAAAAAAGAAGTTTGCTATGATAATTTTGGATGGATTGAATGATTGTGAGATATGGCCCATCTTGCTGCTTCTGGTTGCCTATTTTCTCACTGCACTACGTACTGATTAATAGATTCAATATCAAATTTTGTGTTTCTCATAAAATATGATTTTAAATGAATTACGAGAAATACCGGAGAGGAATTATAAAAAGGCAACGGCGAATTTCGAAGTCGGACAATCAGATAATATGCTTCATTGCAATTATTATCCTGTTTATAGATAAAGTATGTGTAGGCCCTATTTGTAAAAATTTACGGATACGCTTTGTAAATTTTTAAGACAGTCACTTTTAAAAGTTCCTGAAAAATTATATAATTACCATGATTATTATAGGATTTGTAATGAACCTTTTTTAAAGGTAAAAAAGTCAAAGAATTTTACTAGGTTTATTTAATCTCAAAACCCGTCCCATTTAAGCAAAGCAGGCTATCGCGCTGTACAGTTTGATTAACAACGATTCCAGAATATATATCTATCACTTCTTGTCTATCACCGGATATCAAGAATCAGCTTTCTAAATGCTACCAAATACAAGAACCATTATGCATTGCCAAAAAGGCCTGAATTATTGATATTAAAGTTCAGAGGAATATGTCAAATTGCTGTTTCACTCTAGATCGATGAGTGTTGCATCATATGTCCTTTTCTTATCATATTATTCTAATATCTGAAACAGTAAGGAGAGATAAATATCTAATGTACTATTGCGTTGTAGCTTTTCTAAAGCATTATTGTACGTTTTAGGTAGTCACGTTTCATCGTCTTTACTCCGAAGAATAGGCTGATATCCCGAATGACCTCGATATTCTCTAAATTCATTAGGAATCAATACTGTTCTTCTTTTTTTATCTGAGCATCTGTCATAATTCTTTGGAATTTTTAAGGTATTTGGCCATATAGCAGCAATAAATTCATTTGTTGCTTGGTTCTTTTTTGTGGTTTAGAATCCATTGCTCGAGAAATACAAAATTTAATGCCAGGAGGAGCTAGTTACTATTAAGAATTAAAAAAGGCAAACAAAAAAGCAGATGCATGAATTGACATAGATTTTTCACTGATTTTGAATGGAAATGGCATAAATTACAAATTTTTGCCCTTATGACATTATTACGAAATCATTTAAAGATTTAACATTTACTCAGGCAAAAACATAATTCAAATTATCTTTATGAACATAAATCTATTAGAAATATTGCTGATTTCTGAAAAAAAGTTTGTTGCTCTTTATCCTTAAAGGGTTTTTATCACGTCTCAAAACTTTTTGATATGACAAAGTTTACACGCTATTAAAATCATATATTTAAAAATCTTTGCTAGTGTACTGACTATCATCAATTTCACAGAGAAATTAACTCCCTTGTAAATGCACATCCTTTATTGTTTAGTTCCAGTGACAGTGATGTGATGTGATTTACTGTAAATACATAGAAAACATATATATAAGTATTTGATATTACACATAAACCACACACTCTGCGATTGACAAATTAACATCACTCTGATTATTAAATAAATGCTCTGTTCTTTGTAAACAACATTTTTACAATAAATATTGCACACGCACCCTAGTAAATTAGCACATATGAAATTCATATAACTATCAAATCACACAGTTTCAAACGAATTACCGTTACTAGAAAATGCTCAAACAAAATATATGATTAACGGTATTATAGAGTGCACATGCACCAAATAATTTCACGCAAAAATCACAGCAAATCTTTAACTTTCGATATCACATTATAAACATCAACCTATTATGACATAAATTTTCTACACATAGTCATCAAATCATAAATCTTTCATGCCAACTTTCTAACATGTCACTAAAAATTACACCATAACAGGTGAACATTGAACACCTTTATAAACATATAATTAATAACAATTATGCACGTAAAAATTTCTTATGAAACGATATACAAGAAGATTTCATGTTTAACTTACCAACTTAGAAGTTTTCTCTCACAGGAAAAGTGAAGACAAACATGATAGTCAGCACAGTGACTAGTAAACACTGGTAAACAATTTCTAAAGTTGTAAAAAGCTCGTGCACCCGCGAAAATTGTAATATTGGAACCAAATCCGGAAAAATTTAACATTCAAATCAAATCCGGAAAAATCTGACATTCAAGCTAAATCCAAAAAAAAAAATGTTTTGTATAATGTAATTTGCTGTAACAGCTAGAAAATTAATATTTTTGATGTTTCAGCGATTCAAAGTTTGAATTTCTCAATAAGCAGATCGCCGATGTTACGCGCCATTGCTCTGACGTCATAGGTGTCAATCTTGGTCAAGCGAAGTACTTATTGTGTATATAAGGGCTCATTTGTTGTGTCTATTAAACCTGCTAGAATATAATTAAGAGATAACTGGATGATTGACAGCTAGTAAGGTATAATTTATAGCTTTAGGATGCACAAATGTGCACAAGAAAGGTTTTAGGAAGAATTTTCCCCCCACATTTCCTGGACTTGGTCGAGAGATGTTCTGCAAATGCGATGGCTTTTATCTCCATTCAGAACAATCGTTTATGCTCGATCGATCACGATTTTTTTCCTGTCCTATAAAATATTTTAAGGAAAGATACCTTTTTTAAAAAAATAATTGATAAAAAACACGCATTTTTTAAAAGTAGCACAGAATTTATTAAGAATGTTGTGAACTTCGTAATGGCGTACAACGGCACCATTGAAGAAGTGTTATTTCTAGTACATGCACAGAATTTATTAAGAATGTTGTGAACTTCGTAATGGCGTACAACGGCACCATTGAAGAAGTGTTATTTCTAGTACATGCATGATATTCACTGCTGGAACAGATACAAGATATACAGAATTTAATTATATACAATTAATTAAAATAATAATGAAGGAGAATTTAAAATTCCCATACTTATAAATGTTTACGAAGTTAAACTTTATTAATTTGTTCTATTTAGTCGAAGTCCCGAGTTGTCAAAGGCTTCGTCTTCGGTGACCTCTCCAATTGTTGGCATATTTTCTGATTATTTCTCTCTGCTAGACGTTCATACATAAAAGATTGACCGTCCATAACCAAAGGAATATAGCTAATGTCAAAATTTCAACCGGCCATATTGTGTATTCTATTTATTTAGCGTAAAAATCTATTCAATATATTTTTCTTACGATAAGCTTTACGAGTTCGTACTGACCATTGACACCTATGACGTTTCAGCACCACTTGACCCCTATCTAATTAGCGGAGATTTTTACTTCAAGGACCCTATATTACGGGCGTTTTATCGTCTAATTACGGCCGTTTTCAACATTATTTCAGAATTAAACGATAATTATATGTTTCAAGAATACAATAGCGTTTCATTTTTAAGAAATTTAGATACGTGATAAAAACCCTTTAAGGACAAGCTTTCAGCAGTTACTTCAAAGATTACCAAAGCAAAATGATGTACTGAACAACTGTTTCAAAAGATTTTTTTAAAACTATTTTAAACTTTTTAAAATAAAGTAGAATTAAAAAAGTAGCTGACGAACACATAAATAGAAAGTGCACATAATATAAGTGATATCAATTTAAAAAGTGTAATAAAATGTTATAAAAATTATCGTATACATGTACTCTAGTTATAGATTCCTGTATTCTTTTTCTAGGGTTGTTCTAAAGTTTTCTGTATTTGTGGGGTTGTTTTTCATATAAATATATTCTGATTTACCTTTATTAATATTTTTGGACAGACATCGATAGGAAATTCTGCGCAGTTAACGGGTAAGTAGAAACGAACAAATACACGTAGTAAAAATACAACTTTTTAATCATTTATCAAGAATGATAATGTTTGTATAAATATAGTGTCTATATTTTAAATTACAGAGGTGAGGACGTTATTTTCTGCATTTGACAAGAACAAAGATGGGTTCCTATCTTCAAAAGAAGTCGCAGCACTTCTGCAGTCAGGAAAACTCAGTGCCAAAGTTCCCTATAACGCCATACAAAAAATAGTAAGAGATGTGGAAAAGAAGGGTAAGCATTTCTATTACATATATAACGAAACCTAAACATAAGGATTTATAACGAAACCTACACATAGGGATTTATAACGAAATCTAAACATAGGGATTTATAACGAAACCTAAACATAGGGATTTTTAAATGAAGACACATTGTAACTGTTGATCTTATATTTTACATGAACAGCCAATCTTCATATCGTACATAGGAATTCATAAACGAGTTTTTTTTTTTTTTTTGTAAATTGTATATGATTTTTGAGTTATTCGTGTATGAGTAAAAGACTAAACACTTATACCCGGTAATTCTCTTTCTTGCTTGATTTATCCATTATGTAGCCATTAAAAACTACCTGTGTTCACTGTGACCTGTGTCTAATGAGACCAGAGGGAATTTCTCTGATGGAAATCAATAGCTGTACTTTCTACTCGCAGTATTTATATTGTAGACACTCGAGCTAAAGTGGCACTTTCAAATTAATGTTTTAACGTTCTTGGTGAAAGAAGGAATTGATAAATGGGCTTTTGCGATAAATGCGATTTATGTCACTAATATCCTTCTTCTGTAAATCTGCAAGGAAAAGTAGAGTTAATTTTAAGCAATTAGGTAATTATCTTAAGATTTATGCCACAATCTGAAATTGATGTTCTTTTAGGAACTAATGATTCATAAGAAAGTAAAAAACTAAAGGAAAAATATACAGTTCAAACAATTACATGTAAATCATTTAAGGAAATTCCACCTTCCTGTGATGTCATAAGTTTTAGCAAAAACTGTTATTAATTTAAATTCATACCCAAAAGAAAAATATCTTTCAAAAGAATGTTTTTCAAAGGGTGTAATAAAAAAATATTGCACAGTAAAAGAGTTAAAAAATTGAATATTTTCCTTATTTAATCAATTATTTAATCCTTAAAAAATGTTGCTAAGGGCAGTAACTCCTGCTGATGTATCTTCATTCAGGTATTTTTTATATTGTACTTCTAATGCAAAATTGTTTCCCTGATATTCACAATTCAAACATATTTATAAAGTAACAATTATTTTGGAACTTTCAGCATCAGAATTATGTATTTGAACCAGTTTTACATAAGTTTTATAAACTTGTTTACTAAAATGTACAATTTTTTATGCTGACATATACTTCTTGTTTATGTATGTCTTAGGTCGATCTTTAAAAAGATGGCAACCTATACATTTTTGGTGATTATTAATTAATTTAAACTATATTCAGTGAAAATAAATGCAGTTTTTCTATTTTGAACCCATAAATTCTTGAAGGTGGAAATACCTTAATTAGGTTGTCATTCGTGCACACTTTATTCAAAGTAAGCATTTTATCATAAAGTTACAACTTAAACCTTTACTGGAAATGCAATATGTAGATAACGAACAGTATTCAAGCTCAAAGTCCATTAAAACAACACAAATCGGGAGCAGAGCAAACACGGACCTCCAAAAACAGAGGTGGGATCAGGTGCCATGAAGGAATGAGCATCCACTGCCGACGGTCACACCTGCCGTGTGCTCCTTGTCATGATCGGGAAATAACGGAAAAATCCGTCGACAATTCAGGTGTAAATAATGGCCTAACAATTAGTATGAAAAACGTCAGTCAGCATATGACTTAATGATAGGATGTATTTGCTGACAAGATCATTGTATCGACCATAGAACTTACGAAATGATGACTTTAAACGAGACTGCTGATATTCTTGTTTCATCAACTTGTTTGTCAATATCTAACCTCGTTTTAGAAATTGTTCATACATAGAGCATGCTCTTGCGTATCGGATCAATTCAGAGATATACACCCGATATGCAGGTGATAAGGGTATATCGCTGTATAAGTAAGGGAAGTTGACGATTTAAAAGTTAAAGTCATCACGTTTATCATAAAGTTTTGGTGGTAGATTACCATTAACACCTTTTTCTAGTAAAATATCCAATATGAAACAGATGTATCAGACTCTGTGGTATCTTTTATTCCAAGCTCGCTAGGATATATCGTGTCGACATAAGAATGGAAATAACTATTATTAATCGATAATATGTCGTCGATATGTCTAAATGTCGAGTTGAAGGCCACAGCAAGAGATTTCTTTTTCTCATGTATAAGATTTTGAATAAATTCTTTTTATATGAATACAAAAATAGGTCTGCTTATCACGGGGCGTAATTGGTACACATGGGAATTCCAATAGATTGTTGGAAGACCTGGTCTCCAAAAATCACATAGATATTGTCAATCAGAAACTCAAGCATCTTTTTAATATCAACTTCAGAGTACTTGCGTGTGCAATCAGAATCTTTTTAAACAAAATGATTTTGCAAAAGTCCAATGACAAGGTAAGTATATTTACGAGTTCCAGTTTTATTAAAAAAGCAGCTGTTCATGATGTCAAAAAGCTTGGACTTTAATTTATCGTGGGAAATGGTTGTATATAGAGTTAAAAAGCCGTAAGTTTTTATGTCATTAATTTTGGTAAAATTTTGTGATTTCAAATTCTTCAAAAGTTCCTTGGAATTTTTAAATATCCACATCTGATTTACACCACTTCTCGAATATATTGTTGCACGGTACTCCTGAAGTTTCTCCTTCACTGCTGTTAATATTCAAGTGAGGAGTACAAAAAGAGGCTTGGTAGAACATTTACTGGTACCCGCTATGTATCTTTGTTTGTAAGGATTTCGGAATCCAATATAAATATGGCAATTCAAATTCATTTTGGTTGTTGGGAATATTAAAAATATTCAAATCTGACATATGATTTTGAAGAATTTCCTCCTTAGAAAGGGAGCTATGGGTATAAGATGGATTATTACTTGTAGAATTAAATCCCAGTTCCTCGAAAATACAGTTAAAATAAGGAGTCTTATAAACAAAGACCATGTTGTTACCTGCTTTGTCAGCGGGGACCAGTACATACTGATCGTGTAGTCTATCTTATTCTTTTTTCACTTCTGAATTATTGAACACAAAATGATAGATGGCTTTCTTATAACCCCTCAATCACTTAATGCGAGATTTTAACATATGTCTGGTACATTTAATCCATTCTGACAAAGTGTCAAGGTCTTCTTTTTCAAGTCTGGCCCATCGCCTGGCGTAATCTTCCATAGAATTCATAGTATTTATGAAATTATAAAAAAAAAAATTGTAAGCAGTCATAATGATTAAAAATACAAGGAAAACAAGCATCTCATTCCCTTAACCAACAAAAAAATATAGCACAAAACTACCATTGTATTTATATAAATGCATATCAAAAACTATAGAAATGATGTGAAAACTTAATTTAAGTTAATTTCAATTATTTTGTTTTCGTATCCTTCAGTATATTGCTCTTAAGCTTTAATTGAGCTTTAAAAAACAGAAATCTTAACTCTGACCCTTTTTTGAATTTATTTCGAGAACTCAAGTATCTATGGTGCATGTTTTTGCATACCTTTCTTTTACCCGATTTCAATAAAACAAGTACACACGAAGAATACATCTAGATACAAGTGAATATAGTTTTTATGCCCCGCCATGAATATGGCCGGGGCATATACTGTTTGTTATTTCCGTCTTCCGTCTGTCCTTCCGTCGCGCTTTGCGTTAAGCTCAGTTCAAAGCTCATTTCCAAAGAAATTATCCAAGATATTTTCATCAAACTTCATATGCTGATAGATATTGATGAGAGCTATGCAACTGCATCAACGTTTTTTTTTTTACATTGACCTTTCCTTTGACCTTGACCTCACTTTCCCTAAATTAGTGTTTAGCTCAGTTTTAAAAATACCATTCAAATACCAAACAAAAAGAGTTAAGCACGACACAAGACCTAAATGGTTAACTCAAGAAATTCTGCAAGCACAACACATGCGCGATAACCTTCATAAAAATAAAGACTTCGAAAATTTCAAAATATGGCGCAATAAAGTTACATCACTTATTGAAAACGCCAAGATTAGTTATTACAAAACAACTATAGAACAAAACAAAAATCCAAAACAGATGTGGGATGTATTAAACAATTTAGCTTCTAAATCACATAATTATATTCCAGCCGCACTTGCAAAAAATAATAATATCACAGAGGATACACAAGAAATAGTAGAAATGTTTAATTCTCATTTTTCAAATATTTCTGCAGAACTTCTTGCAGGCGTAAGTAAGGAGGAAAATGACTTTACAGGTCTTTTGGACTTTGTAAAGTCTAAATTGGACACAGACATGTTTGGTATTCCGCTTATTAGTCATGACGAAGTATTATCTTTACTCAATAAACTAGATATTAGTAAATCTTCAGGTGTCGATACCATCGGGCCACGTCTATTGAAACTTACTTCACAAATAATACATAAACCTGTGACCCATATTATAAATACAAGTATCATATCTGGCATTTTCCCTGAGAGTTTTAAACTTGCAAAAGTTACTCCAGTCTATAAAAAAGGAAACAGATCAGATCCAAATAACTATAGACCCATTTCCATTTTACCAACATTATCCAAGATTATTGAAAAACATGTGGCAAAGTTTATACGATCTCTTTTTTCAGACTTTGATCTAATAGTAGAATCTCAATCAGGTTTCAGAGAACTACATTCTTGCCAAACAGCCCTTACAAAAATTACAGATGAATGGTTAAATGAAATGGACCAAGGAAAACTTGTTGACCTTGTAAATCATGATATTCTACTTAAAAAACTACAATGTTATAATTTTGATGCAGTAACTTTACAATGGTTCCGATCATACTTAAGTGACAGACTTCAAAGTGTCCATCTGTCCAACAAACATTCATCTTATCAGCAAGTCACAGCGGGAGTTCCACAGGGGTCTATACTAGGACCTCTTCTGTTTTTATTTTACATTAATGATCTTCCATTATGTATTACAAAATCCAAAATAGACTTATTTGCAGATGATGCCACCTTACATGCATCCAGCAAAGATTCCCGTGCTATTGTAGATGCATTATCAACGGATATAGCTTGTATAGAAAAATGGTGTTCTCAGAATC